AAACTCAAAAGGAATAGGCATTCCACTCAGTTCCCTCTCCCTAGCCTAAGGCACAGTTATAAGATATACAAATTTGGAAATAAAGATCATAAAATAATCTAGAAATATTTCCTAACTGTAAGATTATATTATTTAAATCTTCTCAAATTAGCAGCTATATAACATGTAGTATGCTTACAGGAACAACACATAAATAATGAAAGTTATGAAACCATAAAATCTTGTGAGCAGAAAAGTATCTAACAACCACTAGAATTATTTGATTTGCAAGAAAATTGACGATACAAACCATTCATTGTGAACTTGCTAAAGTCATTAATTAAACAGAGCATAAAGTCATTAATTTAAACAGATCATAAAGTCAATTAATTAGTTTGTTATTCTAATAAATCCTACATACATGTGATAGATGTGCAAATTTATTTTAAAACCAATGGCCTTAACTACTCAAACGAATGAATAAATGGATTACATCATCCTATTTAACTCAAGCATTGACAATGAAACAACTAGTCAAAACTTTGAAATTATAAGAAATTTAGACATTGTGTTTGTTCACAAGACAAGAGATTGGGGGTATACACTACGTCGCAGGGATGTCCCCTAGGAGACGTCTCGAGTTTTATGCTAACACTAAACACATGTAAAGTGAGAAGGAAAAAGAAAAGAAAACAAAAACAAAAACTCAGCAAACAGATAATAACATAACATACAAGAACCAACATTTTATTTCCCAGGGAAATCCCAAAAATCAGTTTAGCGTGGTTTCACAATTATATATCATCAAATAAAGTGTCTTCAACGAATTTTTAACTGTCCCTTTCTCCTTTTAGCTAAATTTTCAAAAACTTAGAACATCAAAACTGCCCACTTAAAACATCAACAAGCACCAAGATCACATATATGATCAATGCATTATTTCATATATTTTTGCAACAAATATTCCGTCCATGGCATACATGCAACACAAACTAATAAATGGAATCCCTTCTAGTTGGATGCTAAAATACCTCATTTATCATTCAAAACAAGGGAGGAATATTATTATTACCTCTCCACCTAGTTGGCGTGCATGTGTCTGGAACATCCACTATCAAGGTACCACTTCCTTTCTTTAGCTTTGGACTTAAAGCAAACCTACAAGATGACAATCAAGTGTTGGTTTTTGGTACCCATAGTTTCTTGGGTCCTTCTTGGTTAGTTTTGTTAGATCCCTTAATAATCCAAATCTTTTTAATTCTCATGTTCATATTTTTTTTGAATGGACAATAAGATATATAATGGTCCTTCTTTCTACAATAATGACAGGTAATATGAGGGTACGTCATGAGAGGTGCCTTTTCAAAAATTGTATTAAAATTCTTTTGTTTCTTAATAGGGTCATATCCAATACCCGCTTTATCAAAAATATATCTTCGATTTCCAAGAAGTATGTTGAGATTATCTCTACCTTTTACAAAATTTTCAAGTGTTTTTGTTTAATCATCAACATTATTTTTTAAAGTAGTTTTCTCATTAGAGATAGTATCAAAATCATTTTTCAAAACAATTTTTTCTTTCTTTAATTCTTCTACATTAATAGATAAAGATGCAACAGATTTCTTCAACAAATTATTTTTGGTACAAACTTTTCTAAATTCATTTTGTAGTTCATGGAATGCACTTTCAAGTTCTTCATAAAGAGTAGTTACCTCATCTTGAGTAAAGTCTTCATCTTCAAGAGCCATGAGACATAAGTTGGCTACTTCATTTTCAATTTTATCACTTGAGCTTTCATCTTCACTTTCTCCCCAAGCTACTTTCATGGCCTTTTTGTTTCTTTTGTAGTCTTTTCCATGATTCTTCAATTTTGGACAATCCATCTTCATATGTCTAGGATTTTTGCACTCATAGCAAATAATAAGCTCTTTCTTGTTATCTTTGTTGTACTCTTTCTTGAAAGGTCTTCTTCCTCTATAATTGTTTTTCTTGAAGTACTTTTTGAGATTTCTACTAAACATGGCATAACTTTCATCATCACTGGTATTTTCATGTCCTTTTTCATTTGATGAGGTTTTGAATGCAATTCACTTTTCTTTTTGTTTTCAATATCCTCATGTCCTTTCATGGTGATCTCATGAGTCATAAGGGAACCCATAAGCTCATCCAATCCAAGTGTGGAGAGATTTTTGGCTTCTATAATGGTCGTGACCTTTGCTTCCCAATTCTTTGGTAAATACCTAAGAATTTTTCTCACCAATTCACTGGTAGTATAAGTTTTGACAACCTATTTCAAAGAGTTTATAATTTTAGTAAATCTAGTAAACATACTTGAAATAGATTAATCAAAGTTCATTTTAAAAAATTCATAACTATGAACAACCATATCAATATGAGATTCCTTCACTTTGTTTGTACCTTCATACGTTACCTCAAGTTTGTCCCAAATTTCTTTTGCTGAATCACAATTTGAAATTCAATTATACTCCTTAGAGTCTAATCCACAAACAAGGGTGAGTTTGGCTTTAGAATTGACTTGCAATAATTTATGATCACTCTCATCACATTCATCATCAATTTTAGGAACACTAATATTGTCAACTAATTTGGTAGGAATTTTTGGACCTTTGGCGACAATAATCCACATGGCATAATCAGTGGCTTGTAGGTATAAGGTTATCTTATCCTTCCAATGACTATAGTTGTTTCCGTCAAACAATGGTGGCCTATTTGTGGCTTGTCCTTCAGCTAAGATTGTCATGGATCGAAACTCACAGATGGTTAAATCTAAAATAAGAGTCTAAGCTCCGATACCAATTGTTACCCGAAAGACAACCTAAGAAGGGGGTGAATTAGTTTTTTACAAATAAAAATAATAATACCCTAATAAAAATTATGACTAGCACAATAGATAAATATATTTAATGAAATAAAAATAATTAAAACAAGTGTTCTAACAACTATGTCAATTAATGATTTTAACACAGTAAAAATATGAAATATAATTATGGCAATTTAAATAAATAAAGAGATAAGGGAGAGAGAGGCAAACAACTTTATAGTGGTTCGGCTTCAACTCGGCCTATGTCTACTCCTCAAGTTTCACTTGAGACTTTCCACTATTCTCTAGGTTCACAGGGTGCTAGCAACCTTTTCATAGATGGAGCAATCCTCCACGGATTTTACACAGACTTTCTAAGTTAAGAACACTGAGTGTACTACACTCTTACGAGGTTGAAAAGAATATATTTTTGCTTTCACAGAAAGCTACAAAAATTATTTCTCAAAGATAGATATAAAAATGAAACTTTGGTTTTTCTATAAACCTCACACAAGAAAGATGGGTTTAAAGTTATACGTCTCAGTGTATAATTTCTGAAAGAGGATGTAAACAAAAATTGAAGAACACTTCTCAAAAAGTTTTTTAGAGGATAGATGTGAGTGATTATAGATCAAAGAATATTTTCTGAGGCTTTGGTATATATAATGAAACTTATAGCTGTTTATAGCCGTTGTATTCATTTGAATATCTTCTACTCCATCATTACTAATTTGAATATCTTCCACCCCATCATTACTAATTTGAATATCTTCTACTCCATCATTACTAATTTGAATATCTTCCACTTGAACCTTTTGGGTTGCTGCTGTGCTGGGCTGTTTGAACCTCTGATTTAATCAAATATTAAATACATTCTAACAACATTTAGGATAAAAGTTTTAGGTAAGAAATAATGGGACAAAATAAATTTTGATTCTATTTTTCTCTTTCAAATAAATTAAAACATAAAATCATCAAAATAAATGTTGATTCTATTTTTCTCTTTCAAATAAATCATCAAAATAAATTTTGATTCTATTTTTCTCTTTCAAATAAATCATCAAAATAAATTTTGATTCTATTTTTCTCTTCCAAATGGAGAATTTATTAACGTTTACGAGTTCTACTTGGGTCGAGCTGGCGAATGATGCTAAGCCCAAAGAATGGGCTTGGTCTTGGACTCCCCAAATTCACTTTTTTAAGCTAAGGAGCATTGAATAATTTCTCCTAAAACAATGATTCCCTCATGTAAAATATAATGCTCTATTACTTTTTAAGATTTTTTTCCTAGACAGATTATAATAACATACTACACATGTCTGTTATAGTACAATTCATGGTCTCAATTCAATACCAAACAAGTTCGAACTAATTGAATATTTGGGTCAGAAATTCCCTTAATCGGTTTGTCATTTTCTAATATAATTAACAACTTGAAGTACCAACCATACTACAATAATCAACTATTCGTACAATAACAAATAAATAAATAATTACTCTTACCTCTTGGGTTCTTTTATTCTTCCCGCTGCTCACAATCTCCTTTAATAGTGGATTATTAATGGGCAAACAAAATGTGTGGTATTTTGGTCCCAGAACAGTTGAAACCGACCAACCTTCCACGAAGCCACCCAAGAAAATAGCAACACCATCATTCTTACGAGCCTTGCAGCTTTCCATCGCCAAAAGGTTGGACATTAAATTAAATTACTATATTTCCGGCGACCAAACTTTTAGTCGCCTAAAGTCTCACATTTTTAGCTACCAAAATAATTTATTTTTTGTCACCTAAAGTCTCACATTTTAGCCACTAAATTTTTAGTCGGCAAAAGTGTTTTTATTCTTTAGCTTTTGTTCTTAGCTACCAAATATTTTAGTTGCCAAATGTTTGATTTTCTTTTGGTTACAAAACTTTTAGTAGCCAAATGTCTTTTTTTTTTCTTTTTTTCTTTTTGTTACAAAACTTTTAGTTGCCAAATATCTATTATTTTATTTTATTTTTTGGGCTACAAAACTTTTAGCCGCCCAAAGTATTTTCCCAATTTTTTTTAGCTACTAATTGTTTAGTCGCCAAAAACATGATATTATGTTTTATCGCAAAATTATAATTTCTTCACAACCTATCTATATTCCATGCAACCTGTAATATGTATATAAACAAAATAATGCATGCTATCAATCATTCCACAATCTGTATCCATATACAAAAAATAAATAACTTTAAATATCAAAGTCCATACAAATCAACTATTGTCCAAACTAAAATAATAATTCCATACAAAATATATCATACAAAAATCAAAGCCCTCCGTATACAAAAAGTACATTTACTACCAAACGAAATTACCATTTTGCATGGTACAAATTACCATCGTAATCTGTACCACAACAAAAGGTGATATATATACCACGACAAAAGTTTTCTATGGACCATGACAAAACGTCCTATATGTACGCCGACAAATGGTATATATGTACCACGACAGAAGGTGATCTATGTACCACGACAGTCATTATCTATTGCTTGCCAAAAGTTTTCTATATCAGTAATAATGAACTACACAAAAGCTGAGGACGACAAAAGTATTATATTAGTTCTATACAAAAGTAAAAATTCTTCTCCATACACCAATATGGATTATCCACAAGTCCACGCAACAAAGCCATCTACAAAGAAAAACAAAAAATGAAACATTAGAATTGGTTACAATATATCAATTCAGTCAACTATATGGAACATGTTTTGACATGCATTTAAGGTAAAACAATTGAGAAATTGCTTCTTGGAAATAAAAGAAAGTATATATATATATGTATCACGCAATATTTATTTCAACTAACACAAACAATGTAATATGTAATTTCTTCATCCTATAAACATATAAAGGCAATTATTAGAATATGTAGATGTTATTTTAATAAAGTTGTTGTTTTTTAAACTAAGTGTTGCAAGTTTTTTGACTAAGTGTAAGGCGTATTCGGGGGCTGTTCTGAATTTTCACCCCCGGAAAGCCTTTTTTTGAGTAAGTTTAGGGCGTATTTGGCTCTAACTCCCAACCTACGGGTCCGAATTATGTTCCGTCAGATCTCACAAGTCCTATTTGTCATGGAAAAGCTATTCGTGTGACCCACACGGTCGCTCGGGGGCTGTTTTGAATTTTCGCCCCTGAAACGCCCTTTCTTGACTAAGTTTAGGGCGTATTCGGCTCTAACTCCCAACCTACGGGTCTGGATTACATTCCGTCAGTGGTCATAAGTCCTATTTTTCATGGGGGAATTGTCCGTGTGAGCCACACGGTGGTTTGGGGGCTGTTTTGAATTTTCGCCCCTGAAATGCCCTTTTTCGACTAAGTTTAGGGTGTATTCGGCTCTAACTCCCAACCTACGAGTCCGAATTACGTTCCGTCAGTTCTCACAAGTCGTATTTCTCATGGGGAACTGCCCGTGTAAGCCACATGGTCGTTCGGGGGATGTTTTGAATTTTCGCACCTGAAACGCTATTTTTCGATTAAGTTTAGGGCGTATTCGACTCTCCTAACCTACGGGTCCGAATTACGTTCCGTCAATTCTCACAAATCCTATTTTTTATGGCGAAGCTATCCGTGTGAGTCATATGGTGGTTTGGGGGATGTTTTAAATTTTTGCCCCCAAAACGCCTTTTTTTGACTAAGTTTAGGGCGTATTCGGCTCTAACTCCCAACCTACGGGTCCGAATTACATTCTATCAAATCTCACAAGTCCTATTTGTCATGAAGAAACTATCCGTGTGACCCACACGATTGTTCGGGGGCTATTTTAAATTTTCGTCCCCGAAACGCCCTTTTTTGACTAAGTTTTGAACGTATTCAGCTCTAACTCTCTACCTAGGGGTTCGAATTACGTTCCGTCAGTCCTCACAAGTCCTATTTTTCATGGCGAAGCTATCCGTGTGAGCCACATGGTCGTTTGGGGGCTGTTTTGAATTTTCGACCTCGAAACGCCCTTTTTCAACTAAATTTTGGACGTATTCAGCTCTAACTCTCTACCTACGGGTCCAAATTACATTCCGTCAGTTTTCACAAGTCCTATTTGTCATGGAGAAATCCGTGTGAGACACATGATCATTCAGGGGCTGTTTTGAATTTTCGCTCCCGAAACGCCCTTTTTTGACTAAGTTTTGGGCGTATTCGGCTCTAACTCGCAACCTACATGTCCGAATTACATTCCGTCAGTTCTCACAAGTCCTATTTGTCATGGAAAATCTACCTGTGTGAGCCACATGGTCGTTCGGGGACTGTTTTGAATTTTCGCCCCCGAAATGCCCTTTTTCGACTAAGTTTTGGATGTATTCGGCTCTAACTCTCTACCTACGGGTTCAAATTACGTTTCGTCAGTTCTCATAAGTCCTATTTTTCATGGAAAAGCTATCCGTGTGAGCCACATGTTGGTTTGGGGGCTGTTTTGAATTTTTTCCCCCAAAACGTCTTTTTTCGACTAAGTTTTGGACGTATTCGGCTCTAACTCCTAACCTACGGGTCCGAATTACATTCCGTCAGTTCTCACAAGTCGTATTTGTCATGGAGAAGCTATCCATGTGACCCACACGGTCGTTCGGAAGCTTTTTTGAATTTTCACCCCCAAAACGCCATTTTTCGACTAAGTTTAGGGCGTTTTCGGCTCTAACTCCCAACCTACATATGCTAAGTACATTTCGTCTGTTGTCACAGTTCTTATTTGTGATGGGGAAGGTGGCCGTGACATTCGTACAATGGTTCGGGGGGCAGTTTCGCATTTTTGTCCCCTTAACGCAATTTTTCGATTAAGTTTAATGTGTTTTCAGTTCTAACTCCCAAACTACGTGTGCTAATAACATTCCATCTGTTGTGACAGGTCCTATTTGTCACGGGGAAGGTGACCGTGACATCCGTATGGTGGTTCGGGGCATGTTTCCCATTTTCGCTCCCTTATTGCCCTTTTTCGGTTAAGTTTAAGGCATTTTCGGCTCTAACTCCCAACCTACACGTGCTAATTACATTCCATCTATTGTCACAGGTCCTATTTGTCATGGGGAAGGTGGCCGTGACATCCGTACGGTGGTTCGGGGGCTATTTCCCATTTTCGCCACCTTAATGCCCTTTTTCGGTTAAGTTTAATGCATTTTCGGCTCTAGTGATATAAACTCAAAATAATTACAAAGTGACGGGAGTACAAGACCTACTTATACAATTCAAGGCATAAATTGGTTGTATTTGCAATTCTCCCATCTTATTTCATGGCCTTCAAAAAATATGAGACTTTCACCAATAAGAATTTTTAAAAATTTTAAGCAATAGACTAAGTGGTCTAATGATTAAGTCACCTCTAATTTTACATATGTGGAGTTTATCTGTGTAAGAAGGTGCACCTGTTACATATGAAAATTTCACTTGCTAATGCCAATATGTATCTTTTCACTATATTTAAATCATGAATTTAGAGAGTAAATTAAAAATAAAATGGAAATAGAAATGAAAAACATAAATTAACTTACATTTCATTCTTGAAGGGATGTTGGTGATAATAATTTCGTGTGTTTTTTTTTTTGTATTTGATTCTATGTCTTTAGACTTCTTGTTAATTTAATAGTTTCAAGACATAGATCTAACCACATAAGCAACACCATCAAAATAGATGGAACAACAATTTGAGTGAAACTATTTTTGTATGGCTAGAGATCATTGAAATGTTTCAATGTACTGAGAGATCATTGAAATGGTTCAGGGGCTGCTTTGCATTTTCGCCCCCCGAATGGCCTTTTTCAACTAAGTTCAAGCCGTTTTTCACTCCAACTCTCAACCTACGGGTGCTGATTATATCATGTCTATCCCCACAGGTCCTATTTGTCACGGTGAAGCAACCCGTGACATCCATAGAGTGGTTTAGAGGCTACTTTGCATTTTCACCTCCCGAATGGCCTTTTCCGACTAAGTTTAATGCGTTTTTCACTCCAACTCCCAACCTACATGTGCTAATTACATCTTGTCTGTCCCCACAGGTCCTATTTTTCATGAGAAAGTTGCCCGTGACATCAATAGAGCGGTTTGGGGGCTGTTTTGGTTCGGGAGCTGTTTTGTATTTTCATCTCATGAACGCCTTTTTTCGACTAAGTTTAAGGCATTTTTTACTCTAGCTCCCAACCTACGTGTGCTAATTACATGTCGTTTGTCCCCACATGTTCTATTTTTCGTGACGAATCTGCTTGTGACATCCATAGAGTGGTTTGAGGGCAATTTTGCATTTTCGCCCCCACAATGCCTTTTTTCAACTAAGTTTAAGGCATTTTCGACTCTAACTCCCAACCTATGTGTGCGAATTACATGTCATATGTCCCTATGGGTTCTATTTTTCATGAGAAAGTTGCCCGTGACATCCATGGAATGGTTCGGGGGTTGTTTTGTATTTTTGCCCCCCCGAATGCCTTTTTCCAACTAAGTTTAAGGCATTTTCGACAAAGTAAACCAGTTATTTGGTTTGCTTTTGCTTTTTTTTTTTTCTTAGAACAACTAAAGAAATCTTGGTTTGATTGAATTCAAAGTTGTACAAAGCTTTGTTTGTACTTTCAAAAGCTCAAAGTTAAAAAGCAAGCAAAATAAAATAGTAACTATTGTCTAAATTCTGAAAACAAAGCGGAGGAATGTGCCAACTTGAAGATTGTTTTCTATCTTGTTTTTTATTTTTCTTTACTCTCAATTTCATATCATTCAGCATTTGCAAAAGGGACAAAGCATTTTAGGAATTAAGATTAAACAAGAAGTTCAAAAATACTAGAGCTTCATATAAAAAAATAGTCTTAAGGGCATTATATAGCATGAAGATAAATTGGGCACAAACATTTTGATGAACAGCAATCAAGATAGTTTAAAGAGAGCTACACATCCGATCATCACGAGCAAGTAGTTGAATAAGAATGATGTAATGAGAAGAGGAAGATATAATGATTCATAGTACTTTAAGTTTACCAAAATTCAAATGCACTCCAAATTGTTATCAATTCATATGAAATCTTGCAAAAAGAGAAATGTGATGTAGACGTTAAACCAAGCTCAATGACAAGCACAACAAGAAGAAACAAAGTACTCCAAATTGTTTCACAAAATCCACTTAAAATCCAAATTGTAATCAAATATCAATTAATATGAAATCCTGCAACAAGATAAATGGGATGCAGAGATAAACCACCTGGGCTTTTTTTTAGTTGAATTTGAAGAAGTTTCAGATGCAGCAAATGCCTCTTCCTGTGTCATCCACATGCCTATTTCATTTCATGCAAGTAAATATTATATCATAAGAACACATAACCAAGAAGGATATTTTGGGAGGGGTAACAAAAAACGACTCAAAGTAAATCTACAAGAATAATCAAATATGAAACACATCACTACTTTTTAAATGCAATTGGTAGCCCATGAGTTCAGAAACAAAATTATGATTGTGTGTCCAAGTGAAATTTCAGAAATATTACTTAATCATTATATTACATAGCTGTAGAATCTTATCATGATCATCATCCTCAGAAATAATATCATGCTCATCATCCTCAGAAGGATGCCCAAAATACTACACACCATCATCAATTGCTATCAACATTAATAAAGCTATTAAAAAAAAATCTATTATTGAATTGAAGAGTTTGTCTAAATTTTATATAGGTTGAAGTTGTATGAAACTACATCAGACAAACCCAATGTAGAAAGCACAAGCAGACAAGAGAGCCTTCTAAAGCAAGAACAAACAGAGGAAAATAATCAATGACAGTAAAACTGCTGCATGGTTGGCTAGCGAGTCTGCAGTGAAATCATGGTAATAATGCATGCAAAAGAATGACACACTCATCAAGAAAACAAGTAATGAGTCTCTGTCATATACTGATCTTCCAAGAGGCCTGCACGCACTTGTGCTCAATAAATAATATTTGAAGGAGTCCCATTCATCAAAAGATCCTTGAAATCATCACTATCACAATCCTCAAACTCAAAAGGAATATCCCTAACCTAAGGCACAGTTATAAGATATACAAATTTGGAAATAAAGATCATAAAATAATCTAGAAATATTTCCTAACTGTAAGATTATATTATTTAAATCTTCTCAAAGCAGTAGCTATATAACATGTAGTATGCTTACAGGAACAACACACAAATAATGAAAGTTATGAAACCATAAAATCTTGTGAGCAAAAAAGTATCTAACAACCACTAGAATTATTTGATTTGCAAGAAAATTGACGATACAAACCATTCATTGTGAACTTGCTAAAGTCATTAATTAAACAGAGCATAAAGTCATTAATTTAAACAGATCATAAAGTCAATTAATTAGTTTGTTATTCTAATAAATCCTACATACATGTGACAGATGCGCAAATTTATTTTAAAACCAATGACCTTAACTACTCAAATGAATGAATAAACATATTACATCATCCTATTTAACTCAAGCATTGACAATGAAACTGAGAGTATACCTGTGTAATTCCTTTAAATCTTCTTAGTGGATTGTTTTGTGGCTGTTGCCCGTGGTTTTTTAATCACAGTTGGAGGTGTCCAATTGTGGTTTTTCCACTTTAAAATCGTTGTGTTGATTTGTCTTGATTGTTTGATTGGGATTGTTATATACTACTTAAAATTGTTACATAATCACAAATCAATATCTAGAGGATTTCTAGATTTTTCACAAACCATTCATTGTGAACTTGCTTGGGAAAATTAGGTGGCACATCTCGGCTATGATATTACAGCAGCCAGTTTAAACATATAATACATGTCATAACCTTCCCTTATATATTCTTGGTAGAGAAACCTCATAATTTCTCTCTTCTCAATGACCAAACCAACACCAACTAGGTCAAACAAGGTGCTAACGGCTAATTTTCTTTGTAAATGAGGCAATGACCATTAATTGCAGAAAAACCCCAAAGTCTCAATAACCCACCAAAAATTCCTTGAAAATGTTCAGCAAATGCTCGCAAGCCAACAAATAAAAGTGTGAATGCAAGAAAAAAGCAAAATAGTAACAAACAAATCTTAGAAGCCGCTGCTGGAAGAAGCTTTGCCCGGTCTAGGAGTGCCAGTTGCTACAATGCTAGTTTTGTTCATGATTCCCTTCCCAAAATACTGGGCAATCACAGAAAACCCATTTTGCACCCTAAATCGAACCCATTTTGGACACTAAATTAAAAAAAACTCTGTCAAACCCAAAAACCCTAAATCAAACCCATTTTGGACATCAAACCCATAATTTTATAGAAATCAAACCACTTTAACCAAACCCATTTAAGAAATCAACACAAAATTAAACTAAAAAAATCATATAAAACCCTAGCAAGTGTAAGAAATTGAGAGATAGAGAAAGAGAGAGACAGAGACCGAGATCAACAGAGAAGGAGAGAGACCGAGTGCGATAGAGAGAGAGAGAGAGAGAGAGAAAAAAAAAACCTGTGATTTGTGGCAGTGGCGGTGGTGATTCGTAGCAATGGTGGTGCGATGTACGATGCTGGCCAGCGACGGTGGGGTGGTGAACGTCAATGGCGAGCGGGGGTGAGGTTCGGTGGTGACTGTTCTGTGTGTGAGAGAGTTGTGTGTGAGTGAGAGAGCAGAGATCTTTTGTTTCTTTGAAAGAGGAGCACGGGCGCCAATATATTCGCTTCCCTCTAAAAAAAAAAAATTTGTTTCTACCTTTAGCGACCAAACTTATATTTGTCGCCAAATAATAATCAATACCGACTAAAGTTTTTGTAGCCAAAAGTGTAATTTGGCTCCTAATTGTTTTTTTCGTTGGCAAAAATTGATTGTACAACGACTAAATTTATTTTGTCACCAAAATTTTATATTTGCAGACAAAAATATTTGGTTGCCAAAGAGTAATCCAAAAAATAAGCCTACTATTTGGCGACTAAACTTTTTTTTGTCGGCAAATGGTTGTATACGATGACTAAAACAAAAATGAGTAGCCTAAAATGTAGACTAACGCCAACTAAAATTTGTTTAGTCGCCTATTACATCATATTTAGTGACCAAAAGTTTTTTTAGTCGCCAATAACTAATAAACGGCTAGTAAAAAAATTTTGTAGCTAAAATATAAAACATTGTCGACCAATAAAAATTTTAGTCGCCAAAGATCTGATTTTTGGCGACTAAATTTGTTTTAGTTGCCAAGTTTGCTCGCCAAAAGTGCAAATTGTTGTAGTGGAGGTTCAAATTGAGACCAAATGGATCATAGGAAGGATCACTTTCGGAACAGCTTAGTTGAGGCCAAAGATTCTTATTACCATCATCAGTAGTTGCGTTGTTGGTTACTGTGGTTGATGCAGAAGAAGAAGATTATTATTCTCAATTGATTTCTTGACCTTTCATTCCTTATTAACTAATTTTAATTTATTGTAATGCGATTATATTTTTTTTACTTATATATTTATTTTTTTAATTTTTTTAATCATGTAAGAATAACATGCATTTTTATTTTTATTTTAAATATGCATAGAAACGTAATGACTCAAAGATAAAAATTAAAATTTATTAATAATATCTTAACAATTTAGGGATAAATAATTTTCTTACATATGAAATAAGTAGGACAAATTGTTGGGGAAAAAAAATAATCCATTTATTTCAACTTAAAAAAAGAAAAGAAAAAAGAAATTTAAATAATAAATGCATTAATTAAAATTGATAAATATTTAGTTGTTTATTATAGTTTGAAATAAGTCTTATAAATATTGTATTAATTATTAGGGTTTTATATTAAACTATCAGGATTTTAAGTTAAAATATGTATGGATCTTTAATAATATATATGCAAAACTTTAGGGGAGGTAAGTGAATTTTTTTTATTTAAATAGCTTTTTTATATGTTCTTGGTCAATTCAAAGGGGGTAATATGGTCATTTTGGATGGAAATGTAATAGCGGTTGTGCTAAATTAATGGATTGGAAGAATCTTGATAATAATTTCAAAAATAATAGAGATTAATGTAATTATTAAAATAATAAGGAAGATTTTTATAATTGCCAGAAACCTCAGGAGAGGCAACTGTAATTTACCCAAATACTTACAATGATGACTTTTATTTATAAATTTATCGCATCATTTTTGTTGTAATTTTTGCATAAATGTTTGGCATAAACAGATTTTTTTTTCTTTAAATGGGAAACGTGCATAGTATGTATACTTTTTATTTAATAGATATTGTCAACGAACAAAATGACTTCATTGATAATTTAGAATTTAAAAAATATATATATTTTATTTTATTTCATAAATTCCTATGTTCGCTGGATATTGGGTGCGACGTACGCTCAGAATTGTGTGTGATCGAATTCTGTGCACATTAAAAAATTGTTCGAATTATTGGTAGACAATTGAGATTCTCTGCTGCTGTCTTCTCTCTTTACATTCAATTTCATTCTAAAATTTTTTTGATCGGCAATTTTCATACTCAATTGAACAGAACATCCTTTATAAAAAGAATTAAGATTTCATAGTTTTGGAATGAAGAGAATCATAGTACATAATACCAAAAGAAAGAAAGAAAGACTTCATATGTATGAACCATATATCATAATCACGGATGAAACTAGAATTTTATCACCAAAAGAGTCAGAAAACGAATAATATTTTCTCACCATATAAACAAACATATATGTATGTACAATACAATATATAAATTATATATATACATAAAAAAAAAATCATATATCATAGAAACAAACTCTAATAGGATGAATAATTTTTTTTTTTTTGTAGAAAATAAAAAGAAAATGCAAGATGGAAGAATGATTAGATGTCTTTTGTATTAGAGAAATGTTAGGAATCATGAAAAAAATTTCATGAAAATGATCATGAAAGATTTATGACTCTTAGATTACCTTGATTAGTGTGTGGTGCTTTATTCTAAGTGTAATCCAAAAGTTACAAATCTTTCGTGATATTTTCATGAAAGACTTTTCATGATACCTACCATTGTTGTTTATATTAAGATGACATTTTATTTATGAAACAAAATATATAATTTTAAAAATATTATGACAAACAAATTTTTTACAAAAACAGAAGACCATGCCCCCATAGGTTTTACCTAATTCCATTCCGGATCATAATCATATCATACGCAAACACAACTTAACAAAGATTACTTTAAAAAAATCAAAGAATTGATTAATTCAATTATCCGCACGAAATAATATAATCAGACACAACTGTCAACCCTATGATCAATCCTATGATTTGATTTGTGTGTTCCTAGATTTTCTGATGAACTATATCTCGGTAGTACAAGATGATCTACACATGGGGCATTGACCGGTGTTTGGCAGCCACTGGAACACACAGTCTCTGTGGAACACATGCGAGCAAGGAGTCGTCGCAATTATAAAATCTCTCTTAAACCTCTCCAAATAAATCGAACACTTATCATTATCATCTACCGATTCATCGCGATCAAATCTCTTCACCTTCACCGCAGCCTGAACTTGATTTGACGTACCAACAACAATCCCTTCGTCATCTGTTTTACACACACGAAACTCTATCTCATTCGAATCACCATTAACATATGCAAATTTTTGGTTGTTAATAACAACACCACCATCAGCTTCATCTTCTTTGTTTGATGAATGGGTTGTTGGAACAATTTTTTGTGTAAATGAAATAAATAAAAACAAAGCCAAACAAAATAAAATAAAATTTACAAAATTTATTTTGTTGAATCGAATTTAAAAATCAAAAGACCAAGTTGAGTGTGTGACACTCTGTCCTTAAGACAGATTCGCCCCACTACGGCGTTTACGGTTATGTGGATACAATGATCTTCACAAATTTGTAGTAGCACTTCAAACAAATTTGTCCGGCGAACTAGAACATTGTGTTTTATAACTCTCTGAAATTTTCCCTAAAGTAATATGAAAAATAAAGGACGCAAGAGAGCAAAATGAAGGCAAGGAAAATGAATTTTCGGAATCAATCAAAATTTGAATAGGGCTACCTTTATATAGGCTTTGTTGACACCTATTCAATTTGAATAGAAAATGTATGAAGAAGGGACATAACCCTTCCTTTAAAATAAAGAGACACCATGAAATGTTTGCACCCTTTATTCAAACGGAGGTTTGACCCTTTCTATAAAACAAAAAGACACCGTGAAAGGTTACATCCTTTCATTCAAAATGGAGTCTTTTTCAATTCACAACTAACTCTTTATAAATTTTCCAACATGGGTAGGCACCGAAAGCATGGAATGAATGCTGCCGATTCTCAACATGGAATTGATGACGATCATGGGTTTCTTCGAGGAGGTTTGGTTGTTAATGTTGTTGAATCGAAAGCAACTAAAGAGGTAGTTAGATATGTCTCGGGCTAGCTTTAGAATAATTTCCAATGGGAAGAGTTTTGTTGTTGGAATTGCGAGATGAAGCCAACATTCCATGGAGTCTTTATCACGTAAGGTTTGGTAGTCGAATTTGATGGTGTCTTTTTGTTTTATAAATGTGTCGTGTTTGGCATTGGTAATATAACCTTCTTTGCATTTTGTTTTGATCAGCAAAGAAATAACTTTATTGATGTAAAAGAAAAATTACAAGAATAAAAGAAGAAAAAAGGATAAGTGCAAAAAGCATTATAGTGAACCAAATCAATCCTAACTAGGTTGGCACCAATAAGATCGCCAAATCATATGCTAGCACACCATCAGAAGTTGGTGAGAAACTAGCCACAACCACCCAAAAAACAGCAACACTCAAGTAGAGCAACCCAAAACTAAAACAACCCAATCCATCCAACCTACCAAACATGAAAACAAAACATAACACCACAAAGAAATGACAGCAGGCAAATTGAAGACTTCACCACCACAGAGAAAAGCAACAACCAGTAACATTGTTCACCCTCAAGCCAAACTGACATGAAATAGTCATCATAGAAAATTAGCAACGTTGATCACCCACAGACAAGCATCAATCCCTACCACAAAGTAAATATCCTGATCTCCTAATCAACACCCAAGTCAGTATACATTCAATAGCACAGAAATCATCAATCGGAGAGAAGTTACTGCCCTCACAGTTTAGCCACAAACTATAAGCTTCACCCAAGAATCAACATAGATCAACACACCAGACCAAGACCACACATCAGGCTAAGAGAATCATGTACACCCAAGCAAGATATTCACAACCTGGAATTAACAGAGCCTAACAAGTTAAAGACTGACATCTAATCTGCTGAATATTATTAACAATTTCATGCACAGAGTAGAAACAACTTGAAAAATGAGCTTTTACCCAAACAGCAATTTTGAACTTAATCAAGTCACAGACTTCCTCCAGATGCACTTGCTTACTATTGAACACCACATTGTTCTTAAGTTTCCATAATGACCACATAACAACCAGTGGAATAGTCCGCCAAATCGAATTTGCGAACTTACCCCACCTGAAACCACCCCACCACCCAAGAAGATCCTCTACATTCCTAGGTATAGCCCAACGCAACCCCCACCAATCCATCACACAAGACCATACTCTCCAAGCAAAAAGGCACCATAACAATAAATGAGACACTACCTCATCCTCCAATTGACAAATTACCATTGAACACCACATCGTTCCTAAGTTTCCATAATGACCACATAACAACCAATGGAATAGTCCGCCACATCGAATTTGCGAACTTACCCCACCTGAAACCACCCCACCACCCAAGAAGATCCTCTACATTCCTAGGTATAGCCCAACGCAACCCCCACCAATCCATCACACAAGACCATACTCTCCAAGCAAAAAGGCACCATAACAATAAATGAGACACTACCTCATCCTCCAATTGACAAAACTAACACAATATAGAAGCACCAAGTCCCAACACCCCTATTCTTCGCAGAAAATAAGAAGTCTTAAGTCGCCCCTTCCATGCCAACCAACCAAAAAACTGAACCTTTGGAGGAGATAAATTATTCCAGATTATCTTAGTGACTGAACAGGATTCTGAGGTCTCCAACATAGAATAAAGGGAGGAAACACTAAATTGACCAGATGAACTTGCCACCCACTGTAACCTATCAGCCTGTTCCGACAGACCATACCCAGCAGAATTAAAAAAATCACCCAACCTGATCAACTCATCAGATTCCTAGCCTAGCAATGCTCTTCTAAACCTGAATGTCCCATTAATCTGGGCAGACCATCTTTCCGCCACCACTTTAAGAGTAATATCCTTTTCTAACGATAAACTGAACAACCTTGGAAAAGCAGACTCAACAGACAGATTGCCCACCCACGTATCAGTCCAAAAATGAATTATGTCCCTATTCCCCGCAATCAACTGAGAGTTATTCAAAAAAATATTAAAAAGAAGAGAATTTGAATGACTGACCTTGAGAATAGCACCCCAAATTTTTTAACAGATCCCAAAATCAACTGAAAAATGGTACCACCTGCCACCAATTGGAGGATATCTACTACAAATAACTTTTTTCCACAACGAGTCATCCTCAACACCAAACCGCCACCACCATTTAGCCAACATACAATCATTCACCTCTTGAATTCTTCTAATACCTAAACCCCCACTAACTTTGCTCTTTGTTGCTTCAGTCCATCTAACTAGATGAACCTTCCTTTTCAAATCGGACCCCCCCATAGAAAGTTTGCTCGAATTTTATCAAAAGCCTTAGCCACAGAAGAGGGCAACTTAAAAAGAGATAAATAATACATAGGCAGATTGGATAAAACAGACTTAATAAGCATTAGCCTACCTCCAAATGATAAGAGCTTCCTCTTCCAAGATGCAAGTCTAGCTTTACATTTATCAAGGATCGGCTGCCACGTCTTCTTCAGCCTTGGATTAGCCTCCAATGGTAACCCAAGATACAAAAATGGTAACTTCTGATATTTACAATGTAGTCTAGATGCAAACTCCTCTAACTCTGATTCCGGTACGCTAATTCCGCATATAGAACTTTTATGAAAATTAATTTTCAAACCAGAGACTAATTGAAAGCACCTGAGAATCCTTTTGACTACTATTAACACCTCAATATCAGCTTCATAAAATATAACTGTATCGTCAGCGAACTGAAGATGTGATACCATAACATCATGGCCCACCGAAACTCCTGAAATTAGACCCAAAGATCTGGCCCTAAGCATCAGCATATTAAACACTTCTGCCAATAAGTTAAATAGAAAAGGAGACAAAGGATCACCTTGACAGAGGCCTTTACCAGGTTTAAATTCAGCTGTAGGGGATCCATTCACCAGAACTGAGCATCTGGATGATTCAAGGCACTCCTTAATCCAACCTCTCCACCTATCTCCAAAACCGAACTCCTTTATCATAGATAGTAAACAATCCCAACTCACCGAATCATACGCCTTATGGAGGTCGAGCTTGAGAATCACACCCTTCTTTTTATTAACCTTCCACCAATCAACAATCTCATTGGCTATTAAGACCCCATCTAATATATTTCTTCCACCCAAAAAAGCTGATTGACCCTCACCAATAACCTTCTTTGCATTTAGAGACTCGTTTGATCTCACTCTTGACTAGTAAATTGAAATGGCCTTGTGATTCTGAAACAGGAGGGTAAACGTTGATGTTGTCGTACTTTTGATTCCACTTGTAGACTCGAGCATATAGGCCTAGGACTTCTTCATTAAGGTAAGCCATCTCTCTCTCTCTCACTCTCTCTCTCTCTCTCTATAAAGTATTGTTGAAGCAGGGTAATGGGAGGTAGGGGTTTTGTGAAAAGGGACAAGTATGGATGAGTTGTTTATATAAAGAGATGGGTTGTGTTTCTAATTGTATTGAAGGTTTTGGAAACTTTTCTTTTTATGTGAATCCTAGTTGGATTTGGATTTGGATTTGGAACGTGAGGTTGTGGGTTTCGAATGTGAGGGAAGCCACTTTGTGCAAATTATGTCAAATGTTAGGTCTATATCCATGGGGACTAAATTGGACGTACTTTTTAAATAGATGTTTAAATTTTCTATATAGAGGAAAAATGTAATGATGAATGGATTGCAGGTGCAAAATCTAGTTGCAGAAATTGTTGACTCCAAATTGGGCAAACAAGTAATTCTTCCTTTTAGACTGACTAATTTTCTATGTAAAATTCATGGCTTAGTATTGCACTCACACAAGTTAAATTTTCTTTTGCCACAATCCTGCAAATCCCGCAGATTACAAGAATCAAGCCGTCCCTCACTTACATTGCCGCAGAGGAAGTAATGAGCCTTGTGACTGCTCAAGGTCTTGAATTATTCTACTCTTCTTTCTAGCTTGTGGTTTACCATCAGAGGTTTCATTGCATGAGGTAATTTTTTAATTATCTATTTTTTGAGGTAAATCTCTGTTTGTTCATGACAGTGGCGGAGCATAGTGAATTGAAGGAGGTGTGGAAAGACATTCTGAATGCACAGGGTGATGAAATATATGTGAAGGTAAATTCCCTTTTGTAGTGTATTTATTTTAATTTTTAGATATTCACGTTAGCACGGAAAGTTTGGGTTGACTGCTGTTCTGAGGTTAGAGAACAGAATCAGCTTAAACCAAACGTGACTCTTCTTGTTCTGTTGGTCAATCAAAATTCACACAATATTTTCTTGTTCTGTTGGTCATTATTTTTATTTTTTATTTTATTTTCTGGGTTTCTTAGCTAAGAGTACCTGAAAAGTAAAAACAATTGACAAAAATTTTGAAGAAAGAAAGGAACCGTCGTTGCCAAACCAAGCCCACAATTTTTAAAGAACAATATCACTTGAAATCTTTTGTAGGGGTCATGTGAATGAAGACATGGTTTTCTGTTGCCAAAGTAATTTCAATAGAACCTAATAATTTTTAGTTTTATCCTACCCAAGTAGGTAATGTATTATCAGCTTAACCAGGAATCCTCCATTATTACTTCTAGTATGTTTATGACCAAACCATCTATCCATTGCCGCTGATTTGTTGATTTGCTTATGTTTATTATTGTTATTATTATTATAGGATATCGGTTTCTACATGCAGAAGGGGGAGAATCCTTCTTTTGCTGAGCTGTCTGAAAGAGCATATTTGCGACGAGAAGTTGCCATTGGTTACATGAAGAACAATACGAAGGTAATTTATGCCTTCTAGCTTGAGAGTATTCAAGTTTGAGAAATGCTTGGGAGATAGAGATCTCTCTCATGCTGTTTTCTTTTCTTTTCTTTTTCATTTATTTAATCGGCCTCTCTTGTTATATTAAGTCTGATCCTCTGTCCCTTGAATTGACAGATTCGTTGATTGTAATATCTGAGGAGAACAACCCTTGCTTATTTAAACTGGTAATCATTTAATTTTTTTATTTTCAACTAACAAATCTTTGATTCATTTCATTGTTCACAAAGTGCATATTATAATGAGCAAAAATTCTGTTATCTTGGACTTCTTTTGTACTTCATATTAGCATCAATAATTGTTTTTTTTTTTTTTTTTTGCCTATAAAAAAAATTATAATATAAAAGTGAAAAGCAAAGTCTCGGTTCTCTTCCTACTTGCTTACTCGGTCTAGTCTAGAAAGAAACCTGGTGTGGTGTGGGTCTATTTTAATCTAAGTCATTTAGTCAACAAAATAAATAATAATAATAATAATAACAATAATAACAAAATAAAATAAAATAAAAATCAAGTCATTAGTGCTCTTTGATCTTTGTCATGTCGATGGAATACTCAACGTAGCGAACTGAAAAGAAAACAAAAGAAAAATACTTAGTGATCCGAATTTGTGTGACTTAAATGGCTCGAATATGTCAAAATAATATCGTTTTACACTCAAAATGGTATCGTTTTGAGTGTTTCGAGCCATTCGAGCCAAGAAAATTCGGACCACCTAGCATTGATAGAAAAATAAATAGGCAAACAATTGTATACCGCAATTGCCAAATCCATTCATCACGCAAGAAAATAAAAACTAAATTTAAAACTGTGATAATAAAAACTGAATTCAAATCTGGGGCAATAAAAACATGAGAAAATAATTTAAAATATAATTATATTCATTGCTAAACCCCCAACAAAAAAAAACTTTGAGATTATTGGTCAATGATAGCAATGGAGAACCTACCCAATGTATATCTATAGAGGCCCGACTCAAATATATGAATTTTCTTTTTTTTTTCTTACCAATCGGGTCGGATAAGTGGTTTTTAAATATCCATCGGGGATTGATACCCGCCGATTTTTCATATGTTTTCATTAAACAAAAATGGTGTCCGCAAATAGAGAAATGGGGGTCTATTGCTTTGATACCCTCATTGCTCACTACAACAATGGCCACCCCGTAGCTTTTGACCACGGTTAATAGTACGCTTTATGCTTTCTCTCTCTCTAAAACCCTCTTCTTCTCTCTCTCTATATACATACGTATAAATTTATACATAATGTACTCGCATTGAATTTTATTTCGGTAGCGTCGATAAAATAGGGAGAGAGATGATTCATTTGCATATTGATTGTGTGATTTGATTTTTAAGTATCATTATTATCAACCCAGAAAAATAGTTTTTTGTTGGATTCTATTTTAAAATTCTAAAACTTTTTGAAGTTTGTTTTCCCTATTATAAGCTTTATTTCGTTTCAAGTTATGCCTAGGCTTTATTGATGAGAAGGTGATTTATTTATATTTTTTTATTATGATTTATTTTTAAAAATAATTTTTTTGATTAATTAACTAATATTTATTTAATTTTGTTGTTGAGTCAAAAAATAAATATATATTGAGCTTTGGTCGTGAACCTTAAAAAAAAAAAAGTCAAGTTGGAATGGAGAAAATTCAAACCCGTTAGGAGATGGGGAGGGTAGTCCCCATGGGAGATGGGGAATAGAGAATGGAAAACATATTATTATATGGAAATGGGGAACTAATATCCTCTCCATTGCCTCCCATTACGATCCCTACTAATTATAAATTCGCTAGAAAGACATTAGAACTATCATAGTTCAGGAATTTTCAAACGTATTGCCTAATCGCCTAGTTACTAGCATTTAAGTCTGCTTAACTCTGAAAAAGAACTTAAAGAAGAAAACATGAGAGTTAAAAGAGGAATTTGAACAAATGAGACCCTTCCAGTTTTATAGACATATAATGAATAATCTAGAATGTTGGATAGAGAAATATTTTAGACTATTTTTGAATGTAGAAGAATAATATTTACATATAGAAAATTATATGCAATGCTCTACATTACTCTACAATACTCTAGGTAAATGTAGAAAGTTCTAAGAACCTCTAAAATCTTTAAGTATTTTTTAGAGTCTTCAAGTGACGGACAACACCCAAATTTGCAAGACCTCATAAATTTGAATGTTCAATTTGATATATAATATTTATAATTTAAGCTATATTGATTGATTATTTATTTATTTTGTCCAATCTAACAAATTTTTCTAAAATTGCCATTATTTATTTACTCACAATTTCATTTAACCTAATCGCAAAACAAAGCGGATCAATTTCATACCCATATTTTAGAGCCAAGCGCAAAGTCCATTGCCATGGTTGGTATACCGCATACCCAAATAGTCAAAACAGAGAGCTGGTACCAATTTGTGAGCCCGTCAGTGTTTTAAAACAATTTTGTTAGGTTTTTGTAATTGGCAATTCTATTTGATAAAACTTCTTTCAATTGTAATTTTATTTGATTTTTTATTTCAGTGATGTTATGAGCATTTCGATGCGAATCCAACTTGAACTCTGTCTATGCTAAGGAGTTTATGATCTTAATCCTATCATGTTTGCCACTTCACTGACTACATCGGGGATTGAGCTGGGTCGAGGGGCAGTGCCCTCGAAGCAAAAAGCAAAATTGCAGTCAAAGTTGTTTAACTGCTCGAGCGAAGATGCAATTCTTTCAGAAGTTTTACTCATCTGCAAAAGTACTGAGAGTTGTATTTTACGCTTAAGCGGCCTTTCCTGCATTCGAGCGTAGATCCTTATTCTAATACACGCACTTTAGTCAATCCGCTCGAGCGGCCATTCCTAAGCTTGAGCGAAGATCACAATTTTGTTTTCTATAAATCTGCGATTAATTCAGTTTCTAGAGTACGGCTTCTAGATCTTCTTTTTGGGTATTAGGATTTTCATCTGGAGTTTCTTTGTTTGTTTCCTTTAATATCTGTGAGAGTTTGTATCATGAGTTGAGTGAATTATATCAAAGGGTTTGTTTATATTATTTTATTTAAAAAAGAGAGAGTTGTTCTTCGGTAGATTCTGTAAAATTTGGGTCTGAAACTTTGGTAGATCTCGGAGTGACTCGTCATCGTGGATTTGACATTGGCGTTGTGGATTCAATATTGGACAAGACAATTCCGAGGTGAAGATGGTGGTAGAAGAGACACATAGGGGTCGGTTCTATTCGGGCGTAGATTCGCTAGGTAATTGAGTGTATACTTGTATAATTCCTTTTTGTCTTCTTAGTAGATTGTTTTGTGGCTCTTTTCTGTGGCTTTTTTTTATCACAATTAGAGGCGCTCCAATTTTGATTTTTCTATGTTAAAATCGTTGTGTCGATTTATCTTTGATTATTGGACTGAGATTGCTAATTACTGGTTAAAATTGATACATAATCACAAATAAACATTTCGAGATTTTTTAGATTTTTGAAATTTAAAACTCAATATTGAGTTAATGATTGCATAATTTTGAAATCAAGAGAATTATAATACATAATACAAAATAAAAATAAAATAAAATAAAATAAAAACTAGATATGAAATATTATATATCAGAATCATACCACACACAAACAAAGCTCAATAATTAAGAATAGTTTGTGAAATCAAACACATGATTAATAATTTCGTATTAACTAACAATTTGTATACTCGTATAGAAAAAAAAGAAGAAGCAAAATTCAACATGATTATCAATTCTATAATAAATTTTTGTGTTTCGAGACTTTTTCATGAACTATATCGCAGTCGCACAAAATGATCTACAAATGGGGCATTGACCGGTGTTTGGCACCCGCCGGAACACACAACCTTTGTGAGGCTCTTCTTCTCTCACAAACGTACCAAGAATATTTTCCTCCATTGAACCACCACTACCATCATCATCTGCAACTTCTTGTACTTCTTCTTTGTTTCTCGACATGTAAACATTGACGACGATGACAATTATGGGTTTTCTTGAGGAGGTTTGGCTGTTAATATTATTGAACTGAAAGCAACTGAAAAAGGTAGGTAGATATGTCTTGGGCTAATTTTGGAGTGGTTTGGAAAAGAAAGAGTTGTGTTTTTGAAATCGCCATACCAAGCCACCATTCCATAGAGTCTCAGTTGTTTAATATCAAATTGTTAGCTCCATCCACTTCCCACATGGTAAGGAGCCCACTATCCACATGGTGTGGGTGGCACCTTGTGGTAAAGGAAGCTGGTGAGGCAGTACCAACTCACCAAAGGTAAATGGTGAGGGTAGCGTAACCAAGCCCACTCATTGTTGTCACCAAACCTACTCCTCCTCTCTTGTTATAAATTAAGATGAGTGAGGAGGGGGTTGGATATGGAAGTGACACACAGAGTTGAAGAAAGCAAACACGTAGTGTATAATTTGTGAATGAGAGTGCATTCTATAGAGAGTTGTGAGGTGTGAGTTGTAATCTCCCTCCGGGATAATTCTATAGTGGATATCACTCTCGTGGACGTAGGCAATTCCCGAACCACGTACATCTCTCGTGTTATTGTGTGTAATTGATTTCTGGTGTCCCATAGTCCTAACAAGTGGTATTAGAGCCTCGTCGATCGCGTTTCAGAAAAAAAAAAAAAAAAAAAAAAAAAAAAAAAAAAAAAAAAGTGTTTTTCGAAACTGCCCAGAAATCAAGTTGCTTAAAATCAAATTTTGAGCATACCAGGAGCAACGCCTTGTGGAGAGGAGTCCATAACTGTAAAGAACTACCCAAGAAACGACAGGACGCGCTCTCACGTGCCACCTGAATAAGGCGCGTGAATCCCAATCTCAACATACGCTTTCTACGCGCTGTTAAGACAGACGGCGCGTCAGTCCAGTCACACATACGCGCCTGACACACGGCTAAAGGAGGAAGGAGAGTCACTCTGCATATGACAATGACATCATCAACACGTCACTGCCACGTGTC